AGAAAAATGTCAGTTCAAAGATTTTTTTCTGATTTAAATCCATGAGAGAGAATTCTCGCGCACTACAGACGAGCAAAGTCACGCTTTATCTTAACCGTTTAAAGACTCTTAATGTGTCCGTTCTAGGAGAAACAAATCCTGTAAAATTGTGATGATTCACATCAGAAACTCCAACATCTTGGCCTCATCAAAAGCTGCACATATCTTCTTCAGCTCTCTCTAATGCCACATTAAACTAAAACTAGAGAAATTGCATTTCCTTCGAAAATGCAGTGTGAATACTTGTTGCAAAAGAACTTGCTGAAAAACAGCTGAAATTAGCTAAAAACATGCTGAAATTGTAGCTGAAATGAAAGAACCAGCCGAAATTTGCAGAAGAAAGCAGAAAGAACACATATTTGCTGAATTAGGTTTAAATTAGCAGAAATTAGGAAATTATCTTTAAAAAAGTTGAAATTAGCAAAAAGTGGCTGAAAGGCGGAAAGACGCTTAAATTACCAGAAGGAAGCAGAAAGAGCTGAAATGAGCTATAAAAAAAAGGTGGAATTAGCAGAAAAAGCAAAAATTAGCATAAAACAGCTGAAACGGTAGCTCCCAGTAGCTGCTGAAATAGCAGAATAAGCTGAAAGGAGCATAATTCAATTAAAAAATACTTAATTAATCCCAGAGGTAAATTATATTATAGAACAATATATTATATATATTAGCTGAAATTAGCCTAAATAAGTTAATTAGGCTGAAAGTAGCAGAAATTACCACAAAAAAATTGAATTTATCTGAAAGCAGCTGAAATTAGCTAGAAAATGGTTTAAAAAAAAAAAGGGTAGCTGAACATGTAGATCAAGCTTAAACTGGCAGAAGAAAGCAGAAAGAATATGTTTGCCCAATTAGGCTGAGCAGAAATGAGCACAAAAAGTGGAAATTATTTGGAAAAGGCTGAAATTGGCAGCAACAACACAAACTGCTGAAAAGTAGCTAAAAAGGCAGAAAGAAGTTTAATTCTCTAGAAGGAAGTGGAAAGAGCTATTTTTTCTGAATTAGGCTGAAAAAAATTAACATTAATGTAAAAATGTGGAGTTAGCTGGAAAACGCTAAAATTAGCATAAAACAACAAAATAGTAGCTGAAATAGCAGAAAAAGCTGAAACTTGCATAATAAGCTGAAATTAGCTGAAAGTTAGAAGAAGCCCAAACATGTTGTAGTTGGCAGAAGTTATCTAAAAACCGGATTCCAAAAAAGTTGGGACACTAAACAAATTGTGAATAAAAACTGAATGCAATGATGTGGAGGTGCCAACATCTAATATTTTATTCAGAATAGAACACAAATCACAGATCAAAAGTTTAAACTGAGAGAATGTATCATTTTAAGGGAAAAATCTGCTGTTTCCAAATTTCATGGCGTCAACAAATCCCAAAAAAGTTGGGACAAGTCCATTTTTACCACTGTGTGGCATCCACCTTCTTCTTAGAACTCTCAACAGACGTCTGGGGACAGAGGAGACCAGTTTCTCAAGTTTAGAAATAGGAATGCTCTCCCATTCATGTCTAATACAGGCCTCTAACTGTTCAATCGTCTTGGGCCTTCTTTGTCGCACCTTCCTCTTTATGATGCGCCAAATGTTCTCTATAGGTGAAAGATCTGGACTGCAGTCTGGCCATTTCAGTACCTGGATCCTTCTCCTATGTAGCCATCATGTTGTGATTGCTGCAGAATGTGGTCTGGCATTATCGTGTTGAAAAATGCAGGGTCTTTCCTGAAAGAGATGACGTCTA